TCGTTCTTCGCACTGACTAATTTATGGTAGTTTGAAACGATCATTCATCTTAAATTCCTTCGCAAAGCTCCATTGCTGGCTTTATTATTAACATCAGAGTGCAAACGTTCATGCAGATTTAGGTTTACATTTTCAAAAATGAGAAATCTGATCAGATTTCGCGTATTGTCTACAATTTCTTAGAACCACGTAAACATCCAGAAAACACAAAATAGATACACGTTCGAAGGTTTCAACTGATACGATTTATAGAAAAGATAAATCATTTGGTTGAAAAAAAGTCGAAGCTGGAATTATATTTCTGGACCGATGACGTTTCTTTTTCGATGCACTTTCTTCACAGAGACAAAGATCGCCTTATCTGTCTGAAAGGGGTTGGAGAAGCCCGAGGCTCTTTAATGAATATGCGAACGATTCTCGCCGATCCCCCTCGTACTCGTGACCCACGACCCTCTGGACTCTACACGTTCCGTATGCTCCATCCCTTGGCCCCTCTTCACCCCTCGCGAGGCTAACATGGGATTGAGACATGTAAATTGGTGCAATCGGCCACTCCGATCGACGCGGCTCGTCCGACGCTGCCTCGGCGCACGCTACCACGCTACAGGTCGCTTCAAATCGGCAAATCATTGTGACTTTAATATCCAAGGGAAGAGATAGCTTCAGCTGACCTCTTCGACTCATCTGGATTCACTTTTCATGCGAAATTATCGGAGGAACTTTGTGAGAGAAATGGGGAAAAAGTAAATAATGCCATTAAATTTGTCGAGCTAAGAAACAATTATGTCTCTAAGCAATAATTGGAGCATTTCGCATTAATTTTAGCACAAGTTAAAAATGGCCACTTTCAATATTTAAATCCGAATCAACTGAAAAAGAATCCGACAAAATCTCGTTCTATAATTTGCCGAAGCATCTCCTCGAAAGGAGAAATTCGAAGAGGGTACATAAGAAACAAGGTTCTTCGGAGCTACGAATCTTCGGTCCTTTTTCTCTCGATATTCAAATAAATCGGATTGAGAATTTCGTCACGTAGGTAACAACCAGGCGAGTTAGATAAAAGGGTGCAGAGAGCGAGATGGGGAGGAACAGACGAGGGAAGAAACGTGAGACAACCTGTAGGGTAGGCGCTAAGGTGTTAATGAGGTCGTGTCGCTCCGAGTCGATTCAATTATGCGGCGGTGGCGACTAACGAGGCCCCGTTTACCCTTTCAGTCGTCTTTTAGCCTCTCGGCCTTTTAACCGGTCGATCTCCTACCTGCTGCTAGCGTTGCTACACCTACGGCTAGCCGCCGCGTACCGTGCATCAGGATCTTTCATTAGATTCACTTGTCGTCCTCGAACCACAACCGAGGCGAAAAAAGTTCTTCGTTTCGTTCGTCGAATCGACTTGCCACGAGAGATTTTTTTCGAATCGTTCTTGCTTCTTTATTCTCTCTCGTCCTTGTTAGATTTTGTTTTTTTTTTTAGTTCAGTGGTTGATTGTCGTTTCGTTTAGATATTTTTCGCGATTTTTCATTGCTTGTAGTGCATGTTCAATTAATTTAATTCTAATCTAAATGATGGATTAACATTTGTTTAACATTTGTAATTGAATTTAATCTAAACTGATACTTGATTCTCTTTCTTTGCATAATTATTACCTGTTACTCGTTAGATGCGAATTTTTCCTTCTTTGTTCCTAAGAGATACTTTATTTTTAAAGATAATTCGATTAATAGAGAATTTCTTTTTTCAAGCTAAATTAGTCCAAAACGATGTCACAAGTGATGCGCAACAAAAGCGATCGAGAATGGCTTCGGTTTGAACACGTCGAGAGAAACTCTCGATCCTCGGTGTCGAATGTCAATGATTTTATCGATCTTATCACGTCGGATTAAACTCTGATTTTTAACAAGGCTGAAATGACACTTTAACCACCAAATTCGCGATGTTTCATCGATTCAAGATTCACGACTTACCGTCGATGGAAAAGGGGAATTCCGAGGAAGCGAGAGTGCTTGCTGGTCCCGCGGCGTGCAGAAGGTACTCGGGCCCCAAACCACCCAGTCCTAAAAGAAAATTATTAGAAAACTATTAGATGGTTAAAAGAAGAAAGAAGAAAGGACAAGATTTCATTCGACTATTTTTAAATAGGAAACAACACTGTCCCGTAACGCGTGGGGCGAATTCAAAGACCTTGAGGCCTCGAAACGATTCATCCGGCGGAAATGCGGGCTCTTTGTAGCATCCCTAGGTTTAACAACAGGGATGCTACGCTTTGCTTCTCTCATTACGTTTATCGAAAGTGAATTACAGAAATTATATTCTGAATTCAAAAGTTCATCAAATCAAATTTCATAATTTTATAAAATTATGAATTATTTCGCGTCTTTCAAATTTTCTTCTATCCGTCCCAGGTCCCAGAACATCTGCGTCCATTCGTTGTCTACGAAATTAAATCCTACAAACGAAAGTCCCGACATTCGACAAATTTAAGACAAATATTAATCTCAATCTTAATCCTTAGAAAAATTTATCTCGTTCATCGCACACACTATATATTTCAATTATTTATTTACTACATTTTTATATTGGCCTTATACAATGTTCATCTCGACAATAGAAACAACGCTCGTTTCCAGTAGCCAGGACGTTCAATGGTGGAATAAATTTCAAACAGCGGACGGGTCGACGTGATCGAAATTAGGCGACCGTCCACCGCCGGCCTATCGTTCTAATTATCTCGGAACATGTACAAGCCAAGGTAATTACCGTGTAACGAGGCGTTGGGACTGTGCGTGGAGGCCTGGAGCTGGTGGTAAAGGTGGTCCATGTAGTTGAGCCGGTAGGCGGGATGCAGGGCCGTATGCTCCGAGAGGGGGTGACTTCTGCGGAGGAAATCACCGCCGGAAGTCCCGTTGCCGGCTGCCCCGCCACCTCCGCCTCCACTGCCGCCGCCACCGCCGCCGCTGGCACCGCTGCTTGCTCCGCCACCGCCACCGGTGGCTGCACTGCCGATCGCCGTCGTGCTGCTCGACAATCTGCAAAAATATATTACACTCGTTTTGATCTTGCATCACGGAAATTTTCGTAAACTTTGGGAAAATAAATCACCCTATATATACCTCTGTTCTCATCGTCCGTTAATAACAATAATACAAATAAAGCAACAATTGTGTCGGGAATAATTGTGCAATTATAAAATAAATATTGGTAAAAATGTAACAACAGTATCTAATGGTAACTATGTTTATTTGCTTTGTTCTTGAAGAGAATCGATCTAGCTTCTTAAAAACGTAGAAAGGAAATATTAACAGTTTTAATTGACTCCAAAGGGAAGCCATAAGCCCTCTGAACATCCCTAAATTTATAAAATTGGGAGAGATTCATTTAAAAAGCTAGAATATTCAATAAAAGAAAGATAATATAAAATTTTTATAAAGCGTGTTATTTTAACAAATATATTACAAATTTCTCAAACAAGTTGAGATTTTTTACTGTCTCGGAAATTTCAATTCCAAGTCCTGAGGACTCGCCATTAAACGCCCTGATTATTACAAGGAGAGCTGTAAAGTTTTTCGAAACGCCCCTAGAAACTACAAAACCACCGCGCGACAGTGATGTCCGTCATTGGACAGAGGTTAAAGAAGCAAAGAAGCCTCCTCGAAACAGAGACGTAATTCAGCCAGCAGATTAATCATGCCGGGAGGAACAATACAAAGAGAGGAAACGCTCGTTTAACGAATGAAATTACGACACGGTCGAAGCCGCGACAAATGGCGTGTGCCTCTTCGTCAAACATTCTATTTTTGCCGACGTCGACGCTGAAGAGGAACAGGTGTCCTCTGGCAAGGCCAAGAGCTCTTCCTCGCTCGTGGCACCCGAAAGCATATTTGGAACTTCTCTTTTTTCCTCGGTGTCCAACCGGCGTTATACAGAGAGGTGCGTTTTGAGAAAACCGACTAAATTCACTGACAAATCCGAGAATTGCTACGTAAGTCTGCTTTCGACTTTGGTTTATGGTCCGTTCGTCACGCACGGACTACCAAGAAATGACGCGTGTGACTGTGTCATCAGTGTGCTCTTTGAACATTGTCGTTGATTTGTTCGAGTATCAGAGATATTAGATTTCATCTAATTATCTTTATCTGACATTTGACGATTGCAATTTGACTGCTTGAGTGATTGAGGTGAATTGAACTGA